AGTCACTTGACTTACGATGGTAACTTCAAATTTACTATAATTCAAATATACTACATGTAACTTTAAATTTACTTCATTTCAAAAATACTTTATACCGTACTAAAATTTATCAATTAATTTGTATCATTATTTTTCTAAACATCATATTTAAACCATCTGGATTTTTAGCAACTTTAGGAACTGCGAATTAGTGATTGTGGTAAACCAGAAGGGCCAGGATTAAACTAGGTGATGTTGAAAACTGATTAAACGATATAAACTTGGATGCTGTCTCATATGTGCTGACTCTTTGGAGATCCACTTTATAACATGTCCGTTCTGGGAAATCATAAACAGGAAACATAAATAATAACGAACATTTACTTAAAAAAAAAACAGGTGGGTGAACCCACGTATCTTGGATGCATATTTTCATCAGACAGAGCTCTCCAAGTTCAGGATCCAGCAAGCATTCATTGTTACCTGTCAACCTTCCCCAGTAATGAAACACCCAGCAATACCAAAGGAAGCTGAAAGAGAATTCATACATGCAATCATCTCACTAACATTGTGTTACCAATGCCAAACCTGGGCACTAGCAAAACAACATGAGCGGAAAATAACAACCTGTTTGAGAAAAGCAGTAAAAACAAAAACAGAAGAAAAAAGATATCATTAGAATAGTGGAGAAAACACCTTAATTAGATTTATTGAAAAACGAGTGAAATGGTTTGGCTACCTGGTCAGAATGAATCCAGCATCACCGGCTGCAAGAACATACAATGTGGGAATAGAAATATGAAGACACAAAGGAAGGCCAAGGACAAGACAAATAGATGGAGTTAACTTGGAGGAAACTTAACAATATCACTATGCAGCAAGCTAACGAGCACACACTATTTCGGAAACCGATCATTAGTCATGCCTGTGACACCTTTTGATCAGTCTTTCCTTGATGTGGCAAAATGAGGGCATTCACTGGGTCATTGTGATAGCCCCCCGTGTGGGTTCCGGGGCCCCATTGTAGGGGAAAACAAGAATAGACCCACTGCCTACCCAAAAGCATGTCGTAAGAGTCGACTAATTGGGGAGCTTCCTTTGAAGTCGGAGTGCATCTGCCGGAGAGGCAAGGAACCAACAGTCTGTATTCAAGAGAATGAGATTTGTAAAACTGATGCACACGCAACACTCAGGTTCTGGAGCAGGACTGCAGTTCAGTAGTGGACGAACAACCAGAACTTTCCGCCAGAGTGTACAGCTGGTGAACGTGAAGAAGAAGAAGATTTTGATAGCTTTTTGTTACTTTGTAAATGGGCTTTTGTCCTCCCAATTAGATAATTCTCCCTTCGTGTGACAAATGTTCTCTCATGTTCTCCCTTCATGTGACAAATGTTCTCTCATGTTCTCCATTCATGTGACAAATGTTCTCTCATGTTCTCCCTTCAGCTATCAAACTGAAATTAGCCACTGAGCTTTTGTTTGTGCAGGAAAAACAAGAATACACCCAGAGTCTTCCCAACAAGCTAACTGGGAGCTTCCATCGAAGTCAGAGTGCATCTGCCTGAGAGGCAAGGAACCATTAATCTGCATATAAACAAGCCAGATATGTAAAATGGATGTGCACATAACACTCAAGTTCTGGAACAAGACTAAAGTCCAGAGGTGGACGAACTAGAAGAACTTTCAGCCGGAATTATAGCCGATAAATGCGAAGAAGAAATAGACTTTGCTTACCATGTCCGAGTCTGTGGCAAAACAACAAAGTTGTTTTCTGTCTCCTCATTGTTGTACACAATGTTTTACTTTTATTAGCCATTTCCAGGCGATCATTGCAAGTTATTCTGGCAGTCCAAGGTATTTGCAACATTCTTCTCAAATACCACATCTCACTTGCCTCCAAGCTCTTCTTCATTTGTTTGCTCATATTCCAAGACGTGTTCAGAGCTACTGAACTTAAAATTACCTAGTAAAAACCGATAAAAGTAGTGTTGATCTCCTCATGCCCCTCCCATACACACTACATCACTTCTGATTGGTAGTTCCTGACCCTGTCACCTTGCCACAGGGTTACAGGGGTTTTCCATGATGCAGTTTACATTGCATGTTGTATATTTCAGTATGCCAGTGCTTTAAACGCTAAAAAAAAACATGGAGCAATTTGCCCTAACATCACCCACCTAGAGAGTGCGGCAACCTAAGTGACAGGCATTCTATTTCTTGGAATAAAAGCGTAAATGCCAGACACCACTGAAAGCAAACAATAGAGTGGGACACACCTGTAACCTTCAGGAAAGTCAACCAAAAGGAAGTGGTGTGAGGGGAAGGGGGGAGGGGGAGTGTGAGATCCTTCTCATATATACAAAAGCAAGTGGTGTGAGGGGAAGGGGGGAGGGGGAGTGTGAGATCCTTCTCATACATACAAAAAAGAATGAAAAGTGACCTACTTCCTCTGGGGAGATTTGTGTAAACCTAACCTAAAAAGTACAAACAGCCGGCCAATGCTTGGGTTGATACTGCGAACGCCCTGGAAAGGATACACAATTAACTAACACGTAGTTGGCCTGACATTTTTTTTTGGGGGGGGGGGGGGGGGGCCAGAGTTCTAATTTGGTCACAATGTGGTAGGAATGAAGGCATCCACTAGGTCACTCACAATCCTTCAACTGCTAGGTTAAGCAGACTTCATCTTGGATCAAGAAAGTACTCTTATCTCATTCCACCGATATGACCCAGCCATCCAAGTATTTATCTCTTTACCTTCCTCTTGCTCTTTCCCAATCAATCTAGCTAGTTGTTACGAACTTCTCGAGTTCATCCTTCCCATAACATGTCCACAAAATATTCACAATCATCACCAAATTCATCAGTTTACAGTTTTCATTTGTCAAGGAGAACTGCCTTTGTTGTTTTTCTCTTTCCTTTTATAATATTTTTTGCATTCTTCTAAAAAACAAAAGTACATCTCTGCTGCCACATGTCTCATATGAATAAACAACAGTTCTATATAACATTTTAACACTTTTCCAGTTGACATCTTTTTAATTGCACAAATACAGTTTGCCTTTTAACCTTGTCCGGCTGAATGTAAACTCCTGTCCTGTCTTGGCTTCTGAGTTGGGTTTCGAATCCTCTGTCCTTGATGCCGAGTCTGTTGCACGTGGTGGTTTTTCAACACCTTTCTGGTATTTAATAACCCACAGTTGTCTCAGCTGTTCATTTTCCATTTGGTATTTGTGAATCTCTGAACGCATGGTGTCCAGTGTTTTCTGTAATTCTGTGGCAGTATTTGCAAGCTGACCTTCTCCTGCCTTTCTGGCATATCTGGACTTTTTCGCAGATTCATTGTTGCGCCGTCTGCACTCAAAATATCTATTGTATTTTTGGTCTTCGGGTGTTGCATTCTTCAATCCTAAAGATCTATGGGTCTTATCACCACTGAAGGAACTGATAACTTTGGCCAGGGTTTGATGGTCGATACCTGTCAGATGTAAGTCAGCTCTATACAGACAATACTGTGCAAACATGAGACAATACAAATAATAAAGTGCAAACATGAGACAATACAAACTAAAAAAGTGCAAACATGAGATAATACAAATAATAAAGTACAAAAAAGACACAATACAAATAATAAAGTACAAACAAGAGACAATACAAATAATAAAGTACAAACAAGAGACAATACAAATAATACAGTGCAAACATGAGACAATACAAACAAACAAGTGCAAACATGAGACAATACAAACAAGTGCAAACATGAGACAATACAAACAATAAAGTGTATACATGGAAAATATGGATGCTTGGCTTTGTTTCCCCCCCCCCCTTTTCCAGTTCAGTAGGGTTAATATTCTTTCTCCCGCTTGTATAGTGTCTGCCTCTTGTTCATTAGCCTTTAACTGTTCCCAGTAGTGTACTTTTTATAATCATGTCTATTTCACTATATCTTTTTTCCCCATTTCATTTATAATCATTTCAGAAACTCAGTGAATTGACTATTTTTTGTTTCCATGAAATACAACCAAATTCTATAACCCCATGGTAGTCGCCGTGACCTAGCTGCTAGACCATCGCAAGCAGATTAGAAGGTTGTGGGTTTGCTCTCTGGCAGAGCTGGACTTTAAAAAAAAAAATGACATTGACTTCCAGGTTGACCTGGCTTTGAGTGGGTACCGGGTGCAGTCCCGGAAGGTAAAGGCGGCCGGCGTGATGCTGACTACTTCACCTATCTTGTGCTGAATGGTCTATAAAAATACAGGTCTAGCCCTATATGCCCAAAGGCGTGGAAAAGGGTCCTTTACTACTTTTTTTGTTTTTTAACTATATCCTCATAACCTCAGTTTTATTCATCTCTTTTCATTTTATTCAACCCTCTTTTCATTCACAGTAAATCCAGAACCACTGCACTTGACTGTTTTTATTTCAACCAAATACAACTCATTCACTTTCTACCTTTATCTCCATAACCTTGATCTGTTGCCACAATTTTAACTGCAAATGTTATCATTATCTTGTTTCCTGTTGATTAGCGTAGAGTCATGTTGCGGAATCTCACACGATCACCAAAATCTTGGATGAAGGCACTGACTGCTCTTGTCTCACCTGCACTTATATCACCAAGCCATCCAGATATTTATCTCTTTGCCTCCCACTTGCTCTTTTTTCCATAAATCTTGCTAGTTGTTAACTAGTTCTCGAGTTCATCCTCCTCATAGCATGTCCACAATATATTCGCAGTCATCGACTAATTTCCCCTACAGTTTTCATTTTTTCAGTAAGGACCGCCTTTATTTTTCATTCTATGATATTCTTTGCATTCTTCGAAATAAACAAAACACAAATGGCATCTCTGCTGCCAGTCTGTTATTTCATTTACCTGATTATCGACCATGTCTCGTATAAATCAACAACAGTTCTATATAACATTTTGACACTTTTCCTGGTTGCAATTGACATCATTTTTATTGGTATTGCACAAAACTACACACACTGCCTTTCCTTGTCCAGCTGAATATGGACTAGTGTTCTGGCTTGAATTCTGAGTTTGGTTTTGAATTTTGCTTTGTCCTTGATGCCGAGTCTGTTGCATATGGGAGTTTATTAACACTTTTCTGACATTTAATAACCCACAATTGTTTTAACTGTTCATTTTCCCATTGGTATTTTTTAATCTGAGAATGCAAGGCATCCAGGGTTTTCTGCAATTCTGTGGCAGTATTTGCAAGCGCATCTTCTCGTGTCCTCCTGGCATCTCTGGACTTTTTTGCAGATTCATTGTTGCGCCGTCTGCGTTCAAAATATCTGTTATCTTTCTGGTCTTCGGGTGTTGCGTTCTTCAGTCCTCGAGATCCATGGGTCTTATCACCACTGATGGAACTGTAAACTTTGGCCAGGGTTTGATGGTCGAAACCTGTCAGATGTAAGTCAGCTCTATACAAACAATACTGTGTAAACACGAGACAACACAGTCAAGTGTAAACATGAGACTACAAACAATACTGTATAAACAGGTGACAGTAAAAAACAGAGATTTTGAACAACAGATCAACATCATGGCACATATGTGCTCCTTTCTTCTAACTCAAGTCTGATTCAGAAGAAACTCAGCATGGTGCACAGACTCTGTAGCACCGGCGAGGATCCTGAAATACTTTGGGTAGATTTTTACAGTGCAAACATGAGACAATAGAGACAATAAAGTGCAAACATTAGACAATACAAACATGAAACAATACAAATATTAAAGACCCCCGTGTGGGTTCTGGGGCCCCATTGTGGGGAAAACAAGAATAGACCCACTGCCTCCCCTAAAGCATGTCGTAAGAGTCGACTAATTGGGGAGCTTCTTTTGAAGTCGGAGTGCATCTGCCGGAGAGGCAAGGAACCAACAGTCTGTATTCAAAAGAATGAGATCTGTAAAACTGATGCACATGCAACACTCAGGTTCTGGAGCAGGACTGCAGTTCAGTAGTGGACGAGCAACCAGAACTTTCCACCAGAGTGTACAGCTGGTGAACGCGAAGAAGAACTAAAGTGCAAACATAAGACAATACACAATATAAAGCCCGAACATGAGACAATACAAGCAATCACCACAAATGCAAAACACCATCAATATGTATAATACAACACAATCATAACACCATCAATATGTATAATACAACACAATCATAACACCATCAATATGTATAATACAACACAAACATAACACAATACATATAATAAAGCAAGCATCATATTGATATTTGGACACTAAAATTACAAATTTTTGGGGATTGTCTTCACCCAAGTGCTTATTAACATGCCTTTTGATTTTTCTTACTGTTCCCTTTTTAGTCATATTTTGTTTGGTGGGGGTAGGGCAATATCCTTCTCATATACACAAAAGGAAGTGGGGGGGGGGGGGGGGCAAATCCTTCTCATATCCACAAAAGAAAGTGGGGGCGTGGGGAGGGTGAGATCCTTTTCATATACACAAAAGGAATTGGGATGGGGGGGGGGGGGGGAATATCCTTCTCATATACACAAAAGAAAGTGGGGAGGGTGAGATCCCTTTCATATACACAAAAGGAAGTAGGATGAGGGGGGGGGGGGGGAGATCCTTCTCATATCCACAAAAGAAAGTAGGATGGGGGGCATCTGATGGCAGTACATGAGTGAGAGAGAATGCAGCAAGCAGACATGTTTACCAACACATCACGGTATGGACCATGTGATGAGACTTATATGAACCCTTTCCCTATGGGTTCCAGTGTCCCATTGTGGGGGGGGGGGGGGGAGAAGAAAAGACCCGCTGCCTTCCCAAATATTTAGGTGTTGACTACCTTTGAAACTGGAATGCATCTGCCTGAGTGGCAAGGAACAACCAAGTAAACAAAAGTCTGGTTGAGGCGTAGCGCTTTGTAATGCCGGGGTGCCAGGTTCGATCCCAGCTGCGGGCCCTGCGCCTTGTGTTGGTTTCGATAGTGTTATCGAGAAGCCGACCACCCAGAAAGAAATGGTAAACTACTGGATGTAAATTTGCCTAGAAAAACCAAAACAGCCAAAAAACAAAATGCTGGGGTTGGTTCTGTAACGTCCTATAAAGGATACGCAACTAACTTTAGCCTTGCAGGGCTGTGCTGAAGAACATACAAAAAATAATAAGGGTCCTTAGGTCAGTGGTGCATTGAGTAAAACATATTAGTCAAGTAAAGATTCCCTTTTTACGCCTAAGATGTTATCGAGCATTTGGGAAGAAAACATATCAGACCTAGTGCTTTTTTTTCTGGCAACAGTATGCAGCATTGGCACCCTTAATTTGAGCATAATTTTTTCAGTGCTTTAGTGATAATTACTTTCTGGCGAGTATGGGCATTTTTCAATACACTTTGTGGTGAGTGCCGGCACCTTTTTAAACACAAACCTTTTTTTTTTCAGGAAGAAAGCTCTAGTTAAACCGATTTTTATACAGACCGACTACCACTTAATATTCTTCTTCTTCATTCATCCAAAGATGTAATTGTGTTGTGCCTGTTTACATCTGGGCTGTGATATTTGCACCTTTTTGTCGGCACATCCGACCTTCCACAGGCATTTCTTACTTCTTCGCGTTCACCAGCTGTACATTCTGGCGGAAAGTTCTGGTTGCTTGTCCACTACTGAACTGCAGTCCTGCTCCAGAACCTGAGTGTTGCGTGTGCATCAGTTTTACAGATCTCATTCTCTTGATTATAGACTGTTGGCTCCTTGCCTCTCCGGCAGATGCACTCTGACTTCAAAGGAAGCTCCCCAATTAGTCGACTCTTACGACATGCTTTTGGGGAGGCAGTGGGTCTATTCTTGTTTTCCCTTACAATGGGGCCCCGGATCCCACACGGGGGTCCACAGGCATTTAGAGGATGAAGTGATTTAACATCATATCGGCCTTGAATCATTACTGAATATAAAAGCAAACTAACCAGACAAAGACATTGGTCCAAAGGGGAGAAATGGTGCTGGTGAAGAAAACAGTGGGTAAGGCATCTGGTGATGTAGTTGAGGAGACAGCAGTTGAGGTTGGTCTCCCTGCTGCTGCTGTAGATGCTGCATCATCTGCTGACTTCTACTGTTATTTAAGTAGCCTGGGTTAGCTGTTGGGAGTGAGTCGTAGAGTCAATCAGTTAAAGTTAAATGTAGAACAGAATAAACTCAATTTATTTTTAAAGGGTTACAAACTGGGCGTGCAGGCCCGTCTTACATTCAGCCTTTCGAAGCACTCATCTTTCAGAGCACAATTGCATGTCATCAATAATACATGTTATTTTTATATAAAAATATACACAATGAAATAATACACACACACTGAATGCATACACAATCATAAATACTTAAAAATACACATATACATATACTCTTACTTGCTCATACATACACAGACCGATACATTCATACACTACACACATATATCCATCTGTACAGCCATCCATACATACATACATACCTAATTATCAAATACATTCCTACCTAAAAACCTACGCACACACATATAGACTCTCAGTACCTACATACATATTACATCCCCATACATATATTACATACAATTTAAAGATATGCTGAAGTTAAATGTAGAGCAGACCAAGGCAGAGATGTACTGAAGTGAATGAAGAACAGATCAAATTAAAGATGTACTGAAAAAATGTAGAGCACACTTTGTGATGTATTGAAGTGAAAGGTAGAATGACTCCAGCCAAAGTAGCACTTCACAAGATGCATATTTTGCATTATTTTCTCAATAATTACAACGAGAAATAGCTATCTAAATTATACAGATCTAACCCTTATGTTTAAAGCAGTGGTTCTCAACCTTCCTAATGCCGCGACCCTTTAATACATTCCTCATGTAGTGTACTGACCCCCCAAACCATATAATTATTTTCATTGCTACTTCATAATTTCAGTGAATGTGTGTTTTCTGATGGTCTAGGCGACCACTGTGAAAGGGTCATCCGAAACCTAAATGAGGTTACGACCCACAGATTAAGAACCACTGGTTCAAAGTGAATCTCCGTCAAATACATAACCATTTCGCATGTGCTCAAAACAGACTTTCATTTTACACTAACCAGCAGCCTCTCATACCATTCACCTACCATTTTCTAACATACTTTCGTGACATTCACTTCACACACGCTAGCAATCTATGCGTGGTCTTGAGGCATGGTGTCCGCTTTGAGTGCTAGAGGTTCTGGATTTAATCCCCGGTAAGGGCTGGGATTTTTTTCATGTGGACTTGGACTTCTAGTAATTCCCTCTTGTCTCTGGATAGTGAGATCGGAAGCCTGTGTGCAATTTTGCATGTGTAAAAAATCTCTTGGCAATTGGAAATCAAAAAGAGTAGCCTAATGGCGCTGCCTGGACAAAATTTTGAGTCTAAAATCTACCCAAAGTAATTCAGGATCCTCGTCAGTGCTACAGAGCCTGTGCACCGTGCTTCTTCGGACTTGAGTTAGAAGAAGAACAAAGCACTTATGGGTAACATCAATGTGTCATGATGTTCACCCGTTGTTGAAAACCTCAAAACAACTCAAAAGTAAGAGTTCTACTTGTTTAAAAAGAAAGCAAGCTCACTCTAATCACAACATCTGCCACTGTTCTGTATAAAAACTCACCCATAAATGGTGCAAGACTTCTGCTTGATGGGCTGAAATCTATTCCAGTCTCCCGACCTGCACTATTTGAAGACGTGAAATCTGTCCCAGTTTTCAAAGCAAAGTTTATTGCTGTATTGCTTGAACTGAAATCTTTTCCAGTCTCCCGACCTGCACTATTTGAAGACGTGAAATCTGTCCCAGTTTTCAAAGCAAAGTTTATTGCTGTATAGCTTGAACTGAAATCTTTTCCAGTCTCCCGACCTGCACTATTTGAAGACGTGAAATCTGACCCAGTTTTCAAAGCAAAGTTTATTGCTGTATTGCTTGAACTGAAATCTTTTCCAGTCTCGTGAGTGAAGTTTCTCCCTGCACTGCTCAATGCGCCTAAATCTATTCCGGTCTTTGGAGCAAAGTTTCTCGCTGTAATACTTGAAATGAAATCTATGCCATTTTCCTGGGTGAGGCTTCTCCCTGTACTGCTTGATGAGCTAAAATTTCTTCTTGTCTTCGGAGCACACTTTTTCCTTGCATTGACTGGTAGGTTGAAATTTTTTTCAGTTTCATTACTCATTCTGTGTGGAAAACATTTATCATAATGATACATGGGGCTCGGGTATGCTGTATATATAACACGTGAATGTTGTGTATATAGATGACAAACAATATGTTTTTGTGGCTAAAGATAAAGGTACTATTCTTTCATTTCACCTCATCTCATAGGGGTCTGAGAATTCATAGGGAATTACTAGGGAGTTTGGCTATCCTTCGAATAATGGCCACTTAAGATGGCGGCCGCAAAATATCCTTTTCGAGCCTCAGTCACGTGTCAATTGCGCACTTCCGGCTACTTAATATGCGGTTTTCCGCCAACAACCGCTACCGCCACGTGGCCTCCACGCCGTGTGAGCGGGGTGGATTGGGGCTTAACTAGATGGCTAGGACTCACGAGCAGCAGCTCCCTTATCTCCTGCAGCTTTGCTCGTGAGTCCTAGCCATCTAGTTTAGCCCCAATCCATGCCACGTGAGCGGCATGGGGGCCACGTGGTGGTGGCGATAGTCGCCGGAAAACCGCAAATTAAGTAGCCAGAAGTGAGCAATTGACACGTGACTGCGGTTCGAAAGGATATTTTGCGGCCGCCATCTTTAGTGCCCGTTATTCGAAGGATAGCAGGGAGTTCTTAGGAAAATATTATTTTATAGTAGGGTTAGGGTTAGTCACGGTTAATTTAACACTAATCCTAAAACTCCTATATTCTAGAGGTGTCATGTGTTGGTCATTTTTAGCATTTCAATCATTTATTGCGTCATCACGCACAGCATTTGTTACTTTTATTTGTAGCCATCACTATTCTTGTTGGGAAGCATGTTCTTACTTTGTGACTTTGCCATGAATTTCTTTGATCTGTCAACATTGCTGCATCTAACACTTTTCCGAACCCGCCCACCCTATACATGGAGACAATCAGTCCTTTTCAGAGCACTTCCCTACCGCCACCCCAAGATTACCCTTTTCAACGCCCACCCTGAAATATCACCAGCTCGCATCTCAGTTCCTGAGTTCTGGCCAAGAGAAACACCAGTTGAAGCTGAACTTTATGGTCACTAAGTGAATTATAATAGGTGATCAGCAAGGATGGTTCCCTAGAGCACTAAAGACATTTGCACCAGAGACATCAAGTCTTGGACACAGCCCAAAAGACATCAAGTTTAAGACATGGCATAAAAGACAGTCTTGAACACAACACAAAAGACATACAGTCTTGGATACAGCACAAAAGACAGTCTTGGGCACTGCACTAAAGTCATGACTTTTAATGTGGCACTAAAGACATGAGCCAGAGACACAGCCCTACAGATATGAACCATGGACACCGCACTAAAGACATGAACCAGGGACACAGCACTAAAGACATGAGCCAGGGACACAGCACTAAAGACATGAGCCAGGGACACAGCACTAAAGACATGAACCAGGGACACAGCACTAAAGACATGAGCCAGGGACACAGCACTAAAGACATGAGCCAGGGACACAGCACTAAAGACATGAGCCAGGGACACAGCACTAAAGACATGAGCCAGGGACACAGCACTAAAGACATGAGCCAGGGACACAGCACTAAAGACATGAGCCAGGGACACAGCACTAAAGACATGAGCCAGGGACACAGCACTAAAGACATGAACCAGGGACACAGCACTAAAGACATGAGCCAGGGACACAGCACTAAAGACATGAGCCAGGGACACAGCACTAAAGACATGAGCCAGGGACACAGCACTAAAGACATGAGCCAGGGACACAGCACTAAAGACATGAGCCAGGGACACAGCACTAAAGACATGAGACTTAGACACTTTATACATCAACCATTGTTAATCCTGGCACACACACATGGCATATGCTCAAAATACAAAGAGGAGAATATCAAAATTACAGCGTAGTAGTAATACTCAGGGACACAATTCCAGTCTGACACTGAAAATTCTTCTTCTGCCTTTCTATCCCCCAATGGAGCATAGGCCCTCAACCAACTCACGCCAAGTCGTTCTATCCGACACTGAAAATGGCCACATTAAACATCAATGGTTCAGGGCACACACAAAAAGTTGGAATTGTGAATGTAATGGTGAAAAACCAATACAAGCTATGCAACTAGCAAAAGACATTAAGCTTTACTGCATAGGCAGTAGCAGAAGACAAAAGACCCTACTCAGACTGTCTCCCTTAGTTCAATCATTCTGTAAAGGCTAACATGGTTAACCAATGCCTGAAGATCTTGAATGTGTCAGTTGAAAATACAAATGTCTCAGCTGTTCTGTTAAAAGTTAGTCGCATATCCTATACAGGACACTGCAGAACCAACCCCAGCAATTTTTGGCTGTTGTGGTTTTTCTTGGCAAATTTATGTCCAGTAGTTTGCCAATGCTTTCTGGATGATCGGCTTCTCGATACCACTGTCACAACCAATGCAAGGCCTGCAAATGGAATCCAACCAGGCAACCCAGCATTACTGTAATTATGAAAAATTATGTGTTAGCACCAGAGATGTGGTTTTATAGACCAGTGATGAGAAAACCCTTGGGCTCTCCTTGCAGCTTTGGACGGTAGCTGGACGGCTTAGGTCGGCTTAGTGGGAGTTCTCTCCCTTGGCCGCATTGCAAACAAGGCGCGGAAAAGTCACGAATCAAACAAGACAGTGAGGTCGACATCAGGGCTGCCAATGCTTGGTTGTTTCCCCCAGATCTGGGTTTTTCTTTTGACGCTGCGGGGAAACCAGGGTTTTTGTGTGTGTGTGTGGTGTTTTGCAGATCTGTATGCTTTAATGACCGATAAGTTTGCGTGGTTATGGGTGGGGTTAGGGTTAGCGGTAGGATTAGGGGTAGGGTTAGGATTAGGGGTAGGGTTAGGATTAGCGTTAGGGTTACGGTTAGGGTTAGCGTTGGATGTGACAATTTTGACGCCGTAGTTCCCTATAATCGAGCACAGTCACATACACACGCAAACAGTCATCTGACGGTGGATGCTACTGACACGGACAATTTGCCACCGATTGGGCACCAGCCGCGCGCTATTGCCGTCATATCTGGCACACTTCTAGTGGCGCCACTCCCACAAGCATCAGATTGTCGCCCAGTATTTGGAAGTTCTACTCTACATCACCATTTTCACATTTAACCCTACCCCTAACCCCAACCCAAACCTTACGCAACCCTACACGCAACCATATGATGATAGACACCCTACGCAGCCCTACACGCAACCGCATGATGATAGGTAACCCTAGACGCAACCGTATGATGACTACGCAACATTTCACTCAACCGTATGATGACTACGCAACCCTACACGCAACCGTACGCAACCCTACACGCACCCGTATGATGATAGGTAAGTATGTCATTTGATTCGTGACTTTTCCGCTCGTTGTTTTCAATGCGGCCACGGGAGAGAACTCCCACTAAGCCGTCCAGCTACCGTCCGAAGCTGCAAGAAGAGCCAACCCTTGTGAGATGCAAAGAGTAGTGAAAACATCATTTTGCAGAAAAACTAAAACTGACTCACGAAGAGAGGTAATATCAAAAGGAGACAGTCTACATTCTATGGTCATTTAATGATGAGAAGTGGAGTACTTTGTAAAAGTTGGAGGGAAAGAGGCAGAGGGAGGGTGAGAGAGATTTTATCAACAGTCTGATATCATGGCATGGAAGATCTAGCAACTTTGGTCAAATTTTCAAAATCGTTTTATCCTCATAAAACAAGTACAGCTGCATCCGTATTGAAAACTCCTTTCCAACGGTGCTTCTTTCATGCCTCTATGTCAAGTCTAAGCAGAGTTATTGAAGTTTTTGTGGGAAAAGTTAAAGAAGAAAATATAAAAGTGAGTTGAAACTTGCTGCCCAGAAATCAGAAGTTTTAGAGTAGTGTTTAAAAACTGCTTTAACATATAAAGTATTTAAAAAAGACCCTAGAAACTATATATTTTCGGATTCAGGGCAACAAGCTTAAACCGAATAAACATCTGTTAGAATTGGGTGAAAGTACAAGAGACAGATGGTTATAGATGGACAATATATGACTACCACCGCCACATGGCATGGACTATAAGAGACAGATGGTTATAGATGGACAATATATGACTACCAACGCCACTGACACTATTATTATTATTTTTTTTAAATATCCAGAAACTGTTTGTTGTTAACCCTTTGGCTCTGTACTATAACAACCTTCAGCTTTGATTTCATGATAGCATTAGATACCGTAAATCTGGGAGATATCTTTTGGCTCTACTATCGCAACCTTCGGCTTTGATTCCATGATGAGATACCGTAAATCTGGGAGATATCTGAAATGTGGCTCTTCTGCCTACCCCAGGACGTGAACCAGGACCAAAAGAAGTTCGTGACTCTGTCGCTGCGCCGTCAGGTTAAACCAGCTGAGCTAGCGAGCCTGGCATCACTGTCGCTTTAAGAAGTGTCCCTAGTACTTTTACTTTACAATTCTATCCTATCACACTATCTACTAGTTTGGTTGTTTGTACACTTTATATGTATGTAGTTTGAACAGTTGTCATTATCTATAGTATATTGATATTACTGTATAAAATAGCTTAAACAATTCTATACTAAATACTATGTTCCTTTTAAGTTTAGGTTTTACTAACAAAATGGTTTGACCTAAACTCGCACACACGTCAATTAATAACACATGGCAACTCTAACTTCAAATACCTGAATCCAACTTTAGTCCGATGAATCACCGATTCTTGTATGATATGTGAGTGCGTTGTTATTGTGACTCATACTGAATTATCCTTTCTGAATTTTGGCATCGCGCGTTTGTCTAAAGAGAGAAACAAATAATTATATGAAATAACGCATTATTCACCTGCTTGACCTGTCCTGCGTAGCCTTACACTTCACTAATAGCTGATCTGCTTGTGACGGACAGTTGAACAACGTTGCTCAAACTACCAGGCTCTTTATGTCAAATGGACTATACCTACTGTATGGGTGAATCAGTATAAGAATTCCGCATTTGTATCTTTTACCTTCAGTAACCATATCGTAATAACCACCTTAAAATACTTTAATTTACAT